AGTCATGTATGAATAGAGTCATGTATGAATAGAGTCATGTATGAATAGAGTCATGTATGAATAGAGTCATGTATGAATAGAGTCATGTATGAATAGAGTCATGTATGTCACTAACGACTGTTGTTCTGTTGAACTGATGGAGGGTTTGTACCTCCTCAGATCCTGTTTAAATACCAACCACTGCAGCAGTTACGGTCAAAAGTTAAAATTAGAACAGCAGAAATAGCACTGACATCTGCTTTAGTTAAATGTTGTTACCAGAAGCCACGCCCACAAACATGGCTCCAACAGAGGAAGAGAAGACGCCTTTACTGATCTGAGAACAGTTTTTGTTCTCATGGAACAGAGGAGCTGCTGTGAAACACTCAGGGAGGGCTCGACCTAGATCGGTTCTGTGGGTTTCATCATTTTTCACTTATTCAAAGTATTTTATGGGACAGCTTTTAGTTTGGCTTTTACAAAATTAAACCCAAAATAAAAGTGAGATATTTGTGTTCCAGTCGTGAGCAGCGAGAGGAAAAGTTCTGACGGTGACGAGCTGGAAGCAGCAGGTAACTATGATCAAGGTCCTGCTCGTCCTGTGAGAACAGTTCTGTTTGTCTGATCCCGTCCTCCTCTTCATCTCCTCTGCTCCTCTTCATCTCCTCTGCTCCTCTTCGTCAGCTTAGAAAAGGGCAGAATAATGAAGGAACAGATATTTTTTGTCTGATTAGTAAATAAAAAGGTTCAGTTGTCGTCAGATTCAAAAGGATATTTTTTATATTTTGAAATAGTGTTCTGTTGAAGGATTATCAATAATTCAATTGTTACCTGTAGCAGACAGAACTTTGGTTCACAGATTTTTATGAATTTGGATAAAACAGAGATGCATTCTGATGGTTATGACAGGCTCAGATCCTAAAAAGCTCCACTCTTAAAAATGACACGAAGGTTCATGCACTCATTCACAGACCTTTAAACCACTCTGAAGTGTGAAATGCTTATTTACATGGAAGTATGTGGTTACTTACATGTACAAAGAGTTGATTTAAGAAGGCAAAATCCTCTTTAAAGGCAGGTCCACACAGACTAGACAAATTTGCACTTCCAAAAGAAATTCTGTCATTAAATTTCATGGTGATTCTTGCAAAATGTTACAATCTGGAAGCAGGCCGAACCCAAGTGCAGGCAGGACTCAGAGAGCTCAGAGGATTTAAATAACTAAAATATTTATTAAGTAAAAACAAAGAGCTGACATGGCAGCAAAACTTACTATGAGGCATGAAGGAACATAGGAGTGGGGAGACAAACCAGAACATCACCACACAATGACCAACTGACAAGTAACAGAAAAACACATACAGTACACAGACTAATGACACATAACCACAAACACCTGGACA